GACGAAAATCGGCGTAAAGAGTCGATGTAATGGGCTTCATGGGCTTCTGCTATTAACATGACGGATTTGTAAAACCTCAAGCCCAATTTCAGAATTGCCTCACTGACGTGGCAGAATGAAATATTCTGATTGGTTAAATATTTTTTCACACGTGGACAGCTTCAAAGAGCTTTATATGCTCCTTTTAATAGTGTTAGATTAGATAACAAAACGTCCACAAGTCCACAGTTCAAAAAAAAAGGAAGAACAAAACGTCCACTGCATTGTTCATTGACTTAAACCACCATTTTGACCAACACCAGATAAAATTTAAGGAAAAGCCTTCCCCTTTCAATCATGAAGAGGAGGAGGGGATCTATTTGGCAACCTCCGGCCAAGCACAAAGCTGCTGAACAAATGCAAAGCTCGTGAAGGCTGCGCGTATGGCACCATATGAGCAGCTCCTCTAACAGTTGCGAATGTCAGTATATCCCCATACTCTATTACCCATCCGCCAACCTACCTCACGTCAAATAACTTAACAATTAGGGGTAGACGTAATACCAAACATTAAAAAGCAACTGTCGTAAGATTTACATCATGTCACATAAGTAAAGACACCATTAATAGTGAATTGATAAACCAAAAAAAAAAGGTTACACCTAAAACATGCGACAGACTTGCTTAATTAGTTTATTTTCTTACTATCTCTACCTTTAATACGAAAACTCCCAACCAAATCGAACCTTGTCTACTTTCAAAAACACCAAATCAATAGACAAAGAAATCGAACCAAGGAAAAAAACGAAGGCTCGAAATTAAGGAGGGCAGAGCATATCTTCCGTGGAACAAACCTGTCCTTTGTGGAACCAAGCTCCATAGGGAACTGTAGTGTTGAAGTTGAGATCCTCTGCTAGTTCTTTTACCAGAGTCCTTGAACCTAGAAGAGGAATCACGGAATCTTCATCCCCACTGCAATTTGCGTTTGAATAAGAACAATGTGTGTTTTACAAAGGTAGAGTTAGAAGAATGGCAAAAAAAAAATGTGTGTACGCACATTACCTGAAGACCCAAACAGGGATTTTCCTCTTCACGATTCTCTTAAGAATCGGAAGTATGTTCAAGTTCCCATCAGTGTCACTATAGTTTAAGAGGCTGTGAAGGTGAAACATAGCCAGAGTTAGAAATAAAATTCTGAGATGGAGATTGAGATAATAAGATCAAAGATGGGTGAAGTTAAACATTACCCGCTGCACATAGACCATGAATATGGCAGATTTGTTCGGTTAGCATGAAGAGCCTGTTGAACCTCAGGAAGAGTCAGATACAATTGCTCTTCGTAGCTCATGCACACGTCCACCCCAACACTCATCTTTGTACCCTAAAAATAATAAATTTTTTTCCAAAAAAGCATATTCAAATAGATAAATTTCCAGCCTTCAAAAATTCAGTTTTTCAAAAAAATACAATCGAAACTCAAAAAGTTTTCCTCTATTTTCTTATTTTTGTTACAGTATGTAGACAATAAAATTTACGGGGATACGAGAATATTTTCCGCATTTATATGAGAAATTCTGTAATATTTATAAATTCAATGAAAAAATAAATCTTCATTTATTCATAAAATATTTATAGTCTTCGAAACCTTTTTTTGAAATTTATTTACTTTAAAAAAAAGTTGGTATTAACATTTACGTGTAGGGAATTTAATCAGCAGAATATATGTTTTCAAGACACTAAAACATAGTGGATTCGTTAGAAATTTTCAATCTAAATAACATATAAATAAAAATGCAGCAAACTGGGACATCCTCTCCCGCTGAAGTTCACAATGTTGTAGTGCATCAATCCTAATCTTTAACATGTGAGCCTCACAGAGCCATATATGTAGGTTATTGGTGCGGCACACCAACTCTAATAAGTCTCTCACGGCCATATATATAGGTTATTGGTATGTTTCGCATTCTTTGAACCCAAAATCTCTCTCTTTAATAACTCTCCACAAGATAAACTGTCACCTAAGACCTCTCTCAATTGGTGACATTTTGTTATATAGAAAGTTGAAAAAAATAAGGTCTTGGGTTCCAGCAATGCCAAGCGTACCAATAACATACATGTATGGCCTTGAGGGGTTAATATATGAAGGTTTAGGATCGGTGCGCTGCAGCACTGTGAGTTTCCGCGAGAAAAATTGTCACAAAAAAAGTCGGTCAATTAGCTTGTCCTGTGGAAAGTTGTTAGAGCATCTTTAACGCAAGAAAACAAAAAAGATTCTTAAACTAATTTTTTTTATTTTTTCTTTATCTGTTTTTTTAAAATAAAAAGCAACCAATCGCGGGCCGCCACGTGTTGGTAGAGCCCGCGAATAGTGTAAGAGGTGTCTCTTGCGTAAGAGGAGAGGAGAAAGTTTTTTAACAAAACATGGACCCCATATGGGCTTCGCCGCCTAAGAACTCTGCTAGGAATCAGTGATATTAATGCTCTTAAAGGGTAAAGTTTTAAGTTTGAAAAACGCCAAACGCATTAATAACCTATAGCCGTGGAGTTAACATGTGAAGGTTTAGGATTAATGCGATGCAGCGCTATAAGCTTCTGCGGGAAAGGTTATTACACAAATATTAGAAATCTTGGGCAGACTCAATTTTTTCTTACCATTTTCTTGAGTCTGAGCTCTTGCTCGACAAGGGTTGGATAGCAGATATCAAGGAGCACGTCGTAGTAATTGACGTATTGAGTGATTATGGTTCCGGCTTCACTCATTGCGTCTTCACAAGGTTTGCTTATGTTGTGTGAACTTGAGAATGTGTAATCTTCAAAGTTGCATTGGTTCATGATAGTGAGGCCAAGTTCATCAGAGATCATCCCGTGTGACCAGAAGAACTCATACGTGGCTGGAACATCTCGGTCAAGCTTCAGAAGTGGATTGCCGATCTGATCAAAACCGATGTATTTCTCAAAACAGAGCTAGTAAATAGAGATTTGAAAATAACATATTTTGTTTGTATAGTTAAGTTTTTATTACTTACTGCAATGCCCTTGAGATTGAACTTGAATCTGTTTGAGCGTCTTGAGTTGTATTCAAGTATTACATCAGCTAGTTGAGGTATATAGTGTCCTGCGTAGCTTTCACCGGCGAGAAAGAGGTTTCGTGTCCTGAATTCTGGAAACTTTTCTAACCATCTTAACAAGAACACCAGCATATCCTTGGCTAATAATGAAAACATCATTTAGAAGCCTTGTAAAAGAATTAATAAGCACGAATAATAAAAACGATAATTTTTAATCATATGAAAGATAATATAATACCAGTGGATTCATCGTCTGTGGTGTAATCTGAAGTAGTGTTCGAGTAAGACCATCCTACTCCAGCCGGTGAATCCACAAACAACAGATTTGAGGCTACATCACAATATTTATGTTAACAAACTTCGTCCTAAGTTTCATTAGAAAAAAAAAAAAAAAAAGAGCTAACCTTTGTTCCAAGATTTGGAGTTTTTGCGGAGGCCACGACCATCTCCAGTGGGGTAAAATGGACCCAACTCTGTGAAAGCTCCTCCCCCAATGGAAGAGCAGCCTGGCCCTGCAACAATATCTCAGTTTTAACCAAAACTAGTTGCATCTCCACTCTCCAGTGAAGTTAAAATGGACTTTAAGCAAATTGCATTACTCTGTTTTAAATTATACTAGATTTTGATCCGCACAACCGTGCGGGTGTTTGTTTTCACTTATAAATTGGTATATATTATAGTAATCACATATTTACGATATGTATAGTAAATGTTTTTCAAACATAATAATATTATATAATACGTGTGTTAATCAAATAGATTGTTTCAAATCTTTTATATTATACATGTTTTTCAAATATGTGTTTATTTCTTCTTCTAAATTTATTGTTTGTTAAGATTGGTATTTCATTTTTAGATAAAGTAATATAAATAGAGCTTGATTAAATATAAGTATACTTTAATTTACAAAGATAATATAAATTTCGAAGAAATTTTTACTAAAAACTAAACTTATAGCTTCATAAATTAATATTATAAAGAATTTTATTAAAAAAATATTTTTTTAAACAATTTCATTTTAAAAAAATATATAATTTTAAAAATTTACATCAAAATAAATTTATCTAGTATATATAGCGTGTAAATTTTGTTAGGGTATATAAATATTCCATATTACGAATCTGTGATTTTTGTTAATATATTGTGGATGGATTTAATTATTATTGACATATTTCCAATATTTATTATCTTCTAAGGAAAACTTATATCTATTGACATATTTTGCGTGACTAAGTAGGAAGGTGTTGGGTAATTTACCAAAACCAAATTGTTAAGCGTATTTTTGTTATTATAGATATGATTTTTCATAAGATATAATAATGATAAGATTATTAGAGAGTTAATGTAACATAACTTTCTAGTAATAGTCCATTTTAAAAAAAAAATCACACATGAAATCAAGTCATGACTTCTGTTTTAATATATAAGATAGTGGATTAAAATGAGGAAACAGCAAACCGTATAATATATATTTTTTTTTTGGTAAAAGCAAACCGTATAATATACACTACGACAACTTTATGTTTTTCTCAAAACAACCAAATTCTAAAGAAAAACTACGAAAGTGTGTTACAGAGAAGAGAAACAAGAGGTAGAGTGAGCAAAGCAAACCTCCATTAAGCCAAAGGGTTATGGGTTTAGTTTGTGGTTGCTTCTCAGCTTCGACGAAGTAATAAAAGAGGCTCCGACCAGCTTTGACGTCGACATCGACATAACCAGCGAATTGTCTGAATGTAACTTCCGGTTGCCCAGGCAGCTTCGTCACCAAATCTTCTTCTTGATATCCCTCAGCTATATTACGGTTATACCCCAACCGTTGCAGAACCATCACCAGTACTGCTACGTACACGAACATCTGCTTACCGTTCGTCATTTCTCTCTTGTTTTTCTGGTCTCGCTCTTCTGTGACTGTGTGTTAACTTCCGCTCTTGTTTCTATGCCTTGTGCACATGTAACTTATATATATAACAGCAAAGTATTCTTATCAATTAAGTATCTCACTCTTTCGATCCATGATTTTTCTGTCTAATAAAAGTAATTTAATTATAGGTGTGGTTGATAATCAACAATACCACTAAAAAGGAAAAATTCTATTTAATAAATAATTTATTTTTTCCAAATTTAATTTTTCATTAATGATAATTTTGTCTTTTCTTTTGGGTAAAAACTATATATTAATGGGTTTTATTAATGGATTCAATTTACCTTCTAATTATTTCTGAAATTTCATAAAAAATAAAGACGTCAACCTTAATTAGTGTGGTTACAGCTGAAAATTTTGATATTAGTCCGCGGGTCTCATCCTGTTTGACTCGCCACGGAACGGGTCGATGGATTTTAAAAAATAGTTTTGGGTCAAGTGTATTTTACACAGAACGATGCAGATTATTCAAATTTCAATTGCGACCCGGTAATCCGCAAAAATAGAAAAACAATTTTGTTTTGAAAAAGTTTATTTTTCAAAAATATACTAAATTTTGTTAAAAATAATTATTATATTTTAAATACTAAAAAATTAATTAAAAATACTATTTAATATTATTTTTTAGAAAAAAATAAAAATAATTATTTTTATTATTTAATAAGTATTCGTGGGTCCCATAGATTACCCGTAAAATTAAGTGAGACAGATGCAGATAAAATATATTTTCTTTGCGGGTCAGGCGGGTCAGGCAGCGTGAGTTTGACCCGTTTCCCAGCACCAGACGTAGTTAATTGATATTATTTTCCATAGTAAAACTACACAATTACATACAATACATTTACATAGATATTGATGATAATAATAAATTAAAATATGTATTAATTTTAAAAAATTATATTAGACAGTGACATGTTATATCATCAAAGCAAAAGACTTATCGATCTATCTGTAGATAAAACAAAAAAAGGTACCCACGCTTTTTAAGCGCATGTCAAAAATCTAGTAACTCCTTATTACTCGTAGGGGTGGACAAAATATGCTTCAAAATGGATTACTTTTGATAAAATTAGAAGAAAAAAATTCAGATATTCATAAACTAAATTTGAAAATTTAAATTTCAATATTTATAAGAGATGAAAGTAAATCATAAACACTAAATGTTTAAAAGTGAGAAAATTTCTAAATTTTAGCATGTGTATACAAAAAATATATATATAGTTACTATATTTGTAATATTTGGTTCCAAAATATGTTTATGTCACATGGAATAATTTTCACGGTTTTTTTCTTGCTTCCCGAATGGTCTTATTGAAAGACTCACTAAGATTGTTGAGATTTTCATTACAACACGATCCTAGTTCTCAGAGCATATCGTAGTAGAGCAACTTTGAAATCAGCAGCACATCCGAATGTCTTTCCCAGAAAGAGAAGCTCTTCACTGTCAATTGTATTTGCACGCATTTCTTTACGCTCCACTGCTTCTTCATCATCGTCGGATGACAATGGATCAGGAATATTACTGTCATCTCAAATGTCATCACCACTATCTGCATCACTCGCTTCTTCTTGTTCTCGAACCATATATCTGAAGTGAACTTCTAAATGTGGGCAATCTTCTTCTTCGACACTGATTCCATTTACTCCAATATCCTCATCTAACTCATCAGTTGCATCATCGACAATGGCCTCACAATCATCTTCAGTTACATCTCCTGCTGCCTCACCGTAGTACCTTCCTCTCTAATGTCTTCCCTTCCAGTATCTTTGTCTCTAACATCTTCCACCATACTCTCTCTCATTATAGCCCCTTCGACACTAGTCTCTTTAAACCTAGCCTCTTCCTCTCTAATATCTTCGACGATATTTGTTTCTGCTTCAGAATTATTTTTTCGCCTTGGTTCTAGATTAATACTCTTCTTTTTCATGGTTTCAGACCAGAGGTAAGAAGAAGATTGGTGAATGGATCTGAGAAATATGATGAAGAAGAAGAAGAGTGGAATTAGGGTTTTAGAGATGAACTCTTGACATATTGGATTTTAGATTAAATTAAAACACGTCGTTTTGTGGTTAAACGTCTGTTAATGGGGATTTAACGTTTGACTAAACTTGTGTCTCTTTTGGCTTAGTCAATGATAGTTTTTTTTAACACTGGTTAATTATGCATTACAAACTATGAGAAATATTACATAGACGATATTACAGCCGACAATTCTACCTGTCTTATGCGGATCCACGTCTGCCTGCAACACCCTGAGCCGCCCTATGAGATCCATTCCTAACGGTATTCATTTCGCCATGCTGAAGATCTCTTGTAAGCCTTTTCTCCAATCTGCATAATTCGCCATACACCTTCTCCATGAGTTAAAACCCTCTTGGTGTAGAAACTGCATAGCCTGAGATTCGAACCCCAGACCTGGTGTAGAAGCCTTTAGACCTTAACCACTAGCCTACGGTGCTTCCACAGTAAATGATAGTTAGGGATTTGTTTTGTTTAAGTATAATAATTAAGAGTTTAAATAGCGTGTTTATGAGTCTGGGTTTGTTTTGGCTTAGTTTGGTAAGTTGGGATTTAAATGTCAATTTTCTCTTTTTCCATAGTAAAACTACACAATTACATACAATACATTTACATAGATAATAATAAATTAAAATCTGTATTAATTTTTTAAAAAATTATATTAGACAGTGACATGTTATATCATCCAAGCAAAAGACTTATCGATCTATCTGTAGACAAAAATCTAATAACTCCTTATTACTCGTAAGGGTGGACAAAATATGCTTCAAAATGGATTACTTTTGATAAAATTAGAAGAAAAAAAATCAGATATTCATAAACTAAATTTGAAAATTTAAATTTCAAATATTTATAAAAGATGAAAGTAAATCATAAACACTAATTGTTTAAAAGAGATAAAATTTCTAAATTTTAGCATGTGTATACAAAATATATATATATATAGTTACTATATTTGTAATATTTGGTTCCAAAATATGTTTATGTCACATGGAATAAATTTCACGGTTTTAATGTTGGTACCAAACAAATTAGATGCAATAACAATGAGAGACTACCGTTCTATTGCTTACTACAACGCTATTTATAAGGTTGTTTTCAAATTTTTTTGCAAATAGACTAAAAAAACTATTATCGGAAACTATCGAACATAATCAAAGTGCTTTCATTCAAGGGAAGTTAGACCATTATTAACGGTGGTTCTTAGATGAACTCTTATGCTTAAATTGTAATTAAAATAAAAATAAAAGTAAAAATTATCCTAGGAGGCGAGCTCCTTGAAACCCTACGGAAGAGGCGCCTCTTGCTCTGTATGTTCCCCTCTGTGTCTTCTCTCTCTCAATTGGATTCTTGAACTCGGATTCGTTCGTCATCTTCCCTATCGACAACCATGACTGAGGTAATTCAAGAACTTGCATCTTTTCTTGATTACAATCTATTCCAATTACGAAATCTTAAATCTTTTTGGAATTTATTTTCTTTTGGTAAGGTCGCTAAAGACACCAAGAAAATTGTCTAGGAATGTGTCTCCGAGTTCATCAGCTTCATCACCAGCGAGCATGTCTTTCTTATCGAACATTGAGCTTTTGATTTTCAAAAAGTTTGAACATTTATGGGTGAATTTGAGTCCACTTATGTAGTTAACATTGCGGTTTGGTGGGTTGATTGAAAAGTTAAGGTCTTTTTATCCTGTTTCGTGTTCTAATTCTCTGTAGTTAAGGTTTTTTACTGAGAAAATGTTTTGGGTGATGCAAATCTTCGATAGTTTTTAGAGAAGTATCAACTTTATTGAATGTAATCTGTATATAATCTGTAACATGTCCAGGAACCAAGTTAGCTGAAGACTGCTGTAAATATGGAACTGAAAACAGTCAGAACATCGATGAGAATATTCTAGCCAAGGCTGCAGCTACATATATACGGTGATGCTCGGAAACACTTTGAGAAGGAACAAGAAGAGTTTAACAAGCTTTTGTCCTTCCAGGTTTGTTTGCTTCAAAATTTATCAGTTTTTTATCTAAAAACTTACATTAGAACTAAAAACATTTTCCGTGTTACTGTTTTGGACCGCCTTAGCGCTATGGTTTCTGGTTCTCCTCTTGAAGACGCTCGTCATTTAGCTCAATGTTTCAGCCGCATGAGACAAGAAGCTGAGGTCGAAGGGGAAAATAACTATCATCTAAGAATAGCAGCCGTCCTCAATGACAATGAAGCCGAGGTTAGTCTGCTATGCAATGCTTGAGGTAGCTTTAGAGTTACTAATTAGGCTTTAAGAGAAATCTACAAGTGAATCTTGTGATATATTCTTTGGTTTTATGACTAGTCTTGAATATTCATTGGAGATCCCTCAAATGTTGGTATCAACGTCAATAGCTTGAACAAGCAACGAGTCATCAGCTCACTCAGATAGGTCGTGGAGATGGACATGTATTTGACGACCACTGATGATGTTGTCCGAGCATGAGGTACACTTCTATTCTCTTTCAGTTTCTAGTTGTGTAAAACAGTGTCTAGGAGATAGCTTAAAGAACGGGAAAATCAGTAGGTTGACGGTTTGGTTAGTTGACTTTTTGAGTCCAATGTTTATCTTCTGATCACATTGTTTCATAATTTTGTTTTTTAAGATAGCCTAAGTTTATCTTCTCATCACAATGTTTATCTTCTCATCACAATGTTTCATAATTTTTTTTTAAGAACCCAAAATTAAGAACCTACCATTGGAGCTCAAAAAATAAGTGTCTCTTCACCCAAACCTCTTAACCAGCATTAATTATTAAAACATTATTAAGAGCCCAAATTGGGTTCTTAGGGTTAATGATACTCTTATTGCTTGAGAATATCATTCTGTATATTGAACTTGTGAAAGACTACCATAAAGATCCAATATATCCTCAATCTGCTCTCAAGATAGATATCACTTAAACATTTGATA